CAGTCATGTAGATTTATTTGAAGGAGAAACCCATACCAGCACTACTGAATTATTTGATAATGTGATTTATATTACAATCAGACAGCCATCCACCTAGGAAGTCTAGTAGAGATGGCTTTTGAAATAAAATTACAAGGAAAAAAATAACTTTTTTTCCTACTCATAAAAAAAACCCTGTTCATGCAGAATAGCTTAAGAAATATTTACTTTCCTAATATCATCCAGCCTGTAGTTTTTGCTCAGAATTTGTCCATTTATTAACCTATTATATATCCCACTTTCCACTGTAGTGTATAATCAAGACCTGTTGATTAGCCCAAGTGATCTACTGTATATCAGTAAAATAATGCAGGCATCTACTTGCCCATATTCTGATAATCATCTGCATGATTTATCAGTATTCTTCCTCTGTTGTCTTTGAAATAATGTGTGAGACTGGCCTTGGGAGACAAGAGGAAAAACCACAGGTTGGAAATGGTCAGACAAGAGGCAATAGAGCCCGCAGAAGGAATGTGGCTGTGGCAAACAACAAAGAAAAGCCTTGGATTGTAATGGTGAAGGGGGAGAGTTGTAGAGGTAATATTCACATTACAAGAGTTCAAAGTTACAACATCACTAAAAATGTGACTTATGAGCCAGCTGATCAGGAGGAAATTGGCACTTTATGGTATCCTTCCCCTGAAGTGGGGTGGGAATGGAGATTTTACAGTATCCTTCCCTTGCCATGCCCACCAAGCCACGGCCACCAAGCCATGCCATGCCTGCCAAGCCACGCCCACAGAACCGGTAGTAAAAAAATTGAATCCCATCACTGCCCTATGGTCATATGAGGGACGCGGTGGCTCAGTGGCTAAGACACTGAGCTTGTCAATCAGAAGGTCAGCAATTCAGTAGTTCAAATCCCTAGTGCCGCGTAACGGAGTGAGTTGCTTGTCCCAACTTCTGCCAACCTAGCAGTTCGAAAGCATGTAAAACATGCAAGTAGAAAAATAGGAACCACCTTTGATGGGAAGGTAATAGCGTTCTGTGCATCCTCAGCATTTAGTCATGCCAGCCACATGATCACAGAGACACCTTCAGATAGCGTTGGCTTTTTGCCTTAGAAACAGAGATGAGCACTACCCGTTAGAGCCAGAAACGACTAGTACGCATATGGGGGGGGGGACCTTTACCTTTATCTTTTGTGGTCATATGATCAAAATTCAGATGCTTGGCAATTGATTCATATTTATAAATGTTGCAGTATCCCATGGTCATGTGATCACCTTTTGTGACCTTCTGACAACAAAGTCAATGGGAAAGTCAAATTCACTTAACAATCGTTTTACTAATTTAACACTTGCAGTGATTGACTTAACAACTATGGCAGGAAAAGTCATAAAATGGGGCAAAATTCACTTAACCAATGTTTCACTTAGCAACAGAAATTTTGGGCTCAATTGTAGTTGTAAGTCAAGGACTACCTATGCTTTCAGACTTGCAAGATTCTGTGAATATACCATACTTTTCAGAGTATAAGACGCACCCTTTTCCCTCAAAAAAGAAGTTAAAAATCTGGGCGTGTCTTATACACTGAATACAAAATGGTCATGCCTAGCCTATAGGAAGCTTTCAGAATTCTCCTGGGGGCTGGGGCGGGCAGAAATGAGCAAAAAAATGGGCCAATTTTTGCTCAATTCTGCCCTCCCCAGCCCCAAGGAGCTCTCTACAAGCTTCCTAAAGGCTATTCATGCCCTTTTTTTGACAAAAAATGGGCCCATTTTTGCAAAAAAACAAGCCATTTTTTTTTGCTGATTTGTGCGGGGGGGCACCCCCCAGGAGCACTCTACAAGCCTCCTAAAGGTTATCCATGCCTTTTTTTTTAAAAAAATGGGCCCATTTTCGTGAAAAATGGGCCATTTTGGGGAGGTCTGCAGAGTGCAAAGCCTTTTTTTTCTTTTTTGCCTCTTCGAAATCTTAGTGCATCTTATACTCCAGTGCATCTTATACTCTGAAAAACACAATAACCAATAAAGATAAAGTTACTATTTGCTCTTCTTTGGACTATCTTTCAAGGCTGACAGTCTTTAATGATGGAATACAGGCATGTAAGACATATATATCAGGTGGTGGTATCTGCATGATCAGAGTCTTTTGAGAAGAAGTGGTGTTGTTGTACTGTCACAATACAACCGACATGTGTTTTCATATGTGCTTGGGATCACAGGATAGACATACAAAAAAGGAGGACCTTTCACCACAGATTTTTCTCATCTGTCCTTTTACTCCACATGCAACATAATCTTAACTTTGAAAAAAAAACTTTAAAAAAAATATTTTTAAAGTCCCCAACTCAGCAGATGTAGGTGGCATGACATCCGTAACTAAGGTTTCTACAATCCTTTGTCTACCTACTGAAAGCGTTCTAGAAAGAAAGAATGACAATATACTATCCTACTTTCTAAAAAGTAGTTTAGGAAGAAGGAAAAGAAAATTAGGACAAGGAGCAGAAATGAGTAAAAAGTATATTCCCTTCAGTAAATGTCTATAAATGTATCAGTGGTTTGAGACACAATGGATTGATCCTCACATGCCCTTTTATAATTATAATTATTATCATTATACCCAACAGCATGAAATCACAACTGCCAGTTCTTTAACTGGTGTTGGCCTTCATGCATCTTGAGTTCCTCCCAAGAATTTGGGACACTATAAATTATCGATATAGTATACTAGTTGGATACCTGTGCTTTGCTACAAAACCATGTGATCGGGCCAGCCCACGGGCTAGATGAGTCATGCGCTGGCCACACCCATATAAGGCAACTGGCAGTTGGAACAGAGTTCATTTCAGGTGGGGAGGGGGAGTAGAACATCTAACTCCTTAGCATCGACGCATGTTCATATAATACTGTATAAGAAATACTGATGAGCCGATGGTCATTTCGAAAAATCCTTTCTTAGTGAGCACCTAGAAGCCAACGGATGTGCCGAATTTCAAGTAGGTAGGCTTTACAGTTCTGGAGATTTCATGATGAGTGAGTAGTATTTGACTTTTATATATATAGAGAGAAGATATGTGGAAGCAAGCAGTATGGCCCTTTGCAATTGGCAGATGGAAATTTTGTCAATGCACAGATGTTCTAGGTCCTGTCCAAGGTTTGAGGGGGGACTCATTTCAGAATACAGAGATCCATTTGAGGTCCTGGGATATCGTTCTCCCTTTGGTGTCTGAAGATAATGTCATCCTAGATCCAATTGTGTCCATTTTGCCCAGCTATTCTCCTTCTCTAAGTTTGGTGGCATGCTCTTCCTTTCTCCAACAGTGCCTATTGACAGAAGAACAAGACGTGGAGTTACCTCTGTTCATTTTTTTATTATTCAGCTACAGAAACTTGCCAGAGTAAGGAAATTATCTCTTAAGCATATACTCTGAATTGCTAGGAGCAATTGCCCCCTTCCTGCCCTCCAGACGTTCCACTCTGCAAGTCTTCCAAACTCTCTCCATGCCCCGTTGTTGTTGTTTGCAAAAAAGGGTCATTTTCATGAAAAATGGGCCAGTTTTTTGCTTCTTTTTGCCCGCCCCAGCCTCCAGGAGCATTCTACAGGCCTCCCAAACTCTCTGCATGCCCCATTTTTCACAAAAAGGGGCATGTAAAGGGTTTGGGAGGCCTGCAGAGTGCTTGGAAATAGACCCTCTTCTTGACACTTGGTACGGAAAAAGGTTTTACGCCTCTTTTCTTTCAAATGAAATGAACAATTAAGGAGACAGTGTGTAGACAGTAAGGAAGAAAAGCCTTGATGGAGATATGGAAGATTAATTATTAGGGCAATGAGGGATAAAAAATATTCTAAGTGTGCAATAGGCAGCTAGTATTCATAAGTAGCTCAGATAAATGCCCCCTAATTCACTGAAGTACAGGAAAGCAGAGGACATACAGTACAATCAGACAAAATTCTAACATCATAGACCATCTCAATAAAATTAAAATTTTAGCTTTTCCATGGAGTTGATTTCTTTGTCTGGTCTGTCTAATGGGGCTATCATCAATCTATCAATCTTCTTTTTCAATCTTGCGTTATGTTTTAAGATAGGCTGAAGCTCTCATGTTTGTCACAGGAAATGGCCTTGGATTAATGGTGGGTTACAGGCGGTACGCCCCTGTACGGGCATACCGGAGCCTGCCCGGAGCACCGGATATCGTTCTGGAGGGCCCACCCGCCCGCCCAAGCTCCTTACTGGTGTTTTAAGTCTTTGGCACTTCTGCACATGCGCACGGCACATACAGTACCTGCTCGATGCTCCACTGAGCAGCTGGAGCGTCACGGCAGCTCGTGGCAGTGCTAAGATGCATGCACATGCACTGCATGTGTCCATGTGGACGCCGCCAGGCCCGTTCCAACCGTATCGGTTGGAATGGGATCCGGAACTCACCACTGCCTTGGATCCTCACTGCACACCACTAAATTCCTTACTGCAGTGCTGCTGCAACATCAACAACAAATGGATGTATAAATAACCAACTCACAAAATGCCATAATGCAACTAACACAACAGATGGGACAGAAGCTACTCCTTGTCAGCAATATTGCAATAAATCTTGCATAATTCTGTTGAGGTCATCTCCTTTAAACTCTAGTGCAGGGGTGTCAAACGCAAGTCTTGCGGGCCAATTCCAGCCCACGGGGTGCTTAGATCTGGCATGTGGGACCAACCTGGGAACAGCAAAGGGCCAGTCCGTGGTGCCTCTGCCAGTGAAAATGGAACTAGGGAAGGCTGCACATGGCCCTCCCTAGCTCCATTTTCACTGGCAGAGGGCTGCAGGAGGCCGTTGCAGCCGAAAACAGGGCTTGAGAGCCTGTTTTCGCTGGCAGAGTGCTTGAGCCACCACAGGTGCCCCTGACAGGAGTGATGTTGAGCTGGCCCCTCCAGCCCCCCCCCCCCCGAGGTCAAACACAACCCTGATGCAGCCCTCAATTAAATCAAGTTTGACACCCCTGCTCCAGTTACAAAAGGGACGATGTATATGTTTATCAAGACAGGGTGGGTAACATTTGTGAAATCATTCTGCAGGCATTAATTCAGACAAGCCCAAGAACCAGTAAATTTTTTTGAATCCCACCACTGATCCAACTCAACATTTCAGTCACTTTGGCATCTTTCAGAATCCATAATCTCTCATGAGAAATCAGTCTAGTTATTCAAGTGGAAAGGTTCGCATCAGTTTTTTACTTCTGTCCAGTTGTGCTTTCTCTTCAACCCAATACCTTCCTTCCAATTGTATGATTTAATCACTGGGAAAGACTTAATTTTCGGAAAGCAGGAAGTGTCCAGGAAAAGCGGCAGCACTAGTTAAATATTCTCAGCTGAAAGTGAAATAGATCAAGCAGTTCACGAGCCTTAATTGTGATTGCGCTTTATTGCTGCTTAGACGATTAAGTGCTTAAATTAGCAGGTAACAGGATCTATATTCTTAACGGCAAGGAAGAGCTAATCATGCCTTCGCTAAATATTTCAGCCCAGTTCCAACAATCTCATGGAGGAAAGTTAATGGACCCAATCCGAGCAAAGCCCGCCTGCGCAAGTCCCAAGCCGTGCTCGAAATCCCGAATGTGCAGCTAGAAGATGGAGGGACATATGAATGCAAAGCTGAGAATTCCCGGGGACGGAATGTCTTCCGAGGACAGTTACAAGTATACAGTAAGTTTTATAATTAATCTCTAGCAGCATCTTTGTTAATTTGCCTCAATGCTTGAATGTGTAAATTCAGACATGCAAAAAGTTTGTAGAGATTCTCAGTCATCCAGATCATGGTTGTCCCAAAGGTCCTTTTTCCGGAGGCAACTGGGCGTTCTTGTTTTTTTTTTTCTTTGAAGACATTTTGCTTCTCATCCAAGAAGCTTCCCATCCAAAATTGCAGGCTATAGGAACCAGTAGCACTATTCAGGTGAATCTGAAGACACCGATGAACCTCCAAGTGGTTCAATGACCCTCTGAAAGGATGCAAATGAACAGGTGTCTTCAAGGAATATAAATCCTTCCATCCCCCACTATCCTGCTAGAGCTGAAGAAGCTTCTTGGATGAGAAGCGAAATGTCTTCCAAGAAAAAAACAAAAAAGTCCAGTTGCCTCCTGAAAAAGCACTATTGGGACCTTCAAACATCACCTCTGACATTTGAGGGAATCTGTTTTAACCTTGGGTGCATTTCAGCCAGAAATAATTTTATGAATGAAGGCAAATACATGTGTCCTGAGATAATGTTGCAAGATCCAATCTGGTGCCTTCCTATTGGTTGATGGGGTGTTGGTGGCCGGTGATTGGCAGCTGTTTTCTCATGCAGGAGTGTTGATTTACCACCAGCTTATCAGGTACTTTGAAAGTGTAAAAGTAAAGAAAAGGCTTTCTATCATTTATGGTGGACGTGTGATGAAGCAAAAAATTTTTTGCAACATGATTCATATTTTAATGCAGAAAATTTTGAAAATGAGAATAAAGATGAAACCAGAAACTTTTTTTTTGAGCCTAATGGAAGAAGACTTTGAGGAAAAAAACTGGAACTTTGACACTATATATGTTGGCAACCATAAGATTGCACCAAAATGGAAGGGCACTTCAATTCCCACCATAGCTGCAGAAGCTGATGGAGTTGCCTGAAATGGCAAAATTGACTATTTTGGTTAAAGAAAAGAATATAAGTACTTTTGTTTCCACATGGAGATCAGTGGTTAGTGGTTTATTCGACTTGTATGCCGCCCTATTCCCGGAGGGACTCAGGGCGTCTGACAAACCAGAGGGGAGGGGAACAAATATAAAAAAGTAAAACAAAAACAGAACAACAATACAAAACAATTTAGAAGTCACAACAAGCACAACCAATTCGAGTAGGGGTGGAACTCAACAGCCCCAGGCCTGCTGGGACAGCCAGATCTTCACAGCTTTACGGAAAGCCTGAAGGGTGGCGAGGGTCCGAATCTCCACGGGGGGATCGTTCCAGAGGGCCGGAGCAGCCACAGAGAA